CCCATCTCTATTAAAATACAAAAATTAGCTGGGAGTGGTGGGGCTCATCTGTAGTCTCAGCTGCTTGGGAGGCTGAGGCAGGAGAATTGCTTGAAGCCGGGAGGCGGCGGTTACAGTGAGTCGAGATCACGCCACTGCACTCCAGCCTGGTGCCTGGCAAAAGAGCGAGACTCTGTCTCAAAAAAAAAAAAAACAAACAAAAAACAAAGCACTGTGTTAGATGGAAAACATTTTGAGATGGTCAATTATAAGGACATTTCAAAATTTGCTTATTTAAAAATACGTAATATGCCTGTGAAGTAACATTCCTTTTTCTAAGAGTGCAAGTGATCTTATGCCAAATGCATTTTGAAATTGACTTTTTGATGAAGTTTATATTGATGGTGTAAATTATTTTACATACTAATATGTAATTATAAATATAGTGACAGATGTAATTTTAGAAGAGCACACATAGTTACATAACAATGCTGAGTAGTTCATTAATTGAACAAGGCATTGCAATACCTCCAGAGAATCAGGTAGCAGTTTAAATCATTAGAAACTAGAAATGAGGAATAAAACATATTTTCTCTATAAAAACAAAAGTTTATTGTGATTCCTGAAAACGTGCTTAATGTCCACTTAAAGTACAATAGCAGTTAGTACTGGGTTTTCAACTCTATATTGAGCAGTAAGAAAGACTCTTTGGCTTTGAAAGCAGAGGTTTTTTTTTGTTTGTTTGTTTATTTGTTCATTAATTGATATTCTGGGTTTCCTCGGCTTTATCATTCTGAACATTATGTCTCACGTTTTTGTGGTGGGATGGCTAGGGGAAGGGAATTGTTCTTTCCATGAATATTTTGTATATACAGAATTTATACATCTGTTTACAGTTAAGATCTTCTGTAGGCTGCCTGTTCTTTACTCAAACTTCTACTTATTACTCCTTAACCTAGTCACTTCCAATTAACCTAAGAAATAATGACTTGTATAAGAAATACACATACACAAAACAAAACAAAAAAATGCATATCATTAAAAAAAATATCAGCCCCCAATACGTTTTAAATTAAAAATATGTATTTTGTGGTATGTTGAAATACAGAATATTGGTTATTACAGCTGCTGTAGCAAATTCTCCTTGTTAAATATGTAGTTTATCAATTAAAAATTTCAGCCTGGGCAACTTGGTGAGACCCCATGTCTACAAAAAAAAATATTAGCATGGTGTGGTGGTACATGCCTGTAGTCCTAGCTACTTGGGAGGCTAAAGCAGGTGGATCCCTTGAGCCAGCGAGGTGGAGGCTGCAGTGAGCAGTGATCATGCCACTGCACTCCAGCCTGGGCAACATTGCAAGACCCTTTCTTAAGAGCAAAAAATAAATAAATAAAACAATTGGTTATACTTAATACATATAGTTTCCATTAGCTAATGCGTTTAGCTGGCTAATTACTGTATTTGATTAGCTAGTATTTGAATACAGTAACTAGATTGTTCATTGTAATTCTCAAAACTGAAGTCGAATTTATTCTTGCTTTTCAGGCTAAGATTCTGTTCTTTAACATTCCAGTATTTGTGAAGTAATTCTCTGAACTCTAATAGAAGTCTGCCACAATATTTAGTATTTTCAGACAGTACTTCACTGAAGGCATGAAATCTTAAGCTGAAAATGGAAAGTACACATAAGACCTTAATGAATGGTTTTTGTTCCTAGGAGTTGATAGTTAACATAGGCTAGGTTCAAATTGATTATGAAAATATGAGCAAGTAAAACACGATATTCTGTTAGTTGAAAAATATACTGATTTTAACAATGGAGTATTCTAGTTGCACAAGGTTGATAGTTCAATTTTGTTACTTTTTTTTTTTTTTTGAGATGGAGTCTCTCTTTGCCTCTCAGGCTGGAGTGCAATGGCATGATCTTGGCTCACTGCAACCTCTGCCTCCTGTGTTCAAGCAATTCTCCTGTCTCAGCCTCCTGAGTAGCTGAGATCATAGGCACGCACCAACACACCAGGCAAATTTTTATATTTTTAGTAGAGACAGGGTTTCACCATGCTGGCCATGCTGGTCTTGAGCTCCTGGCCTCAAGTGATCTGCCTGCCTTGGCTTCCGAAAGTGCTGGGATTACAGGTGTGAGCCACTGGGCCTGGTCTACTTTTTGTTTTTTTCAGTCAAGGTCTTGCTGTGTCATCCAGGCTGGAGTACAGTAGTGAAATGATAGTTAACTGTAGCTTCAAACTCCTGGGCTCAAGTGATGCTCCCACCACAGCCTCCTGAACACCTGAAACTATGAGCCTGTGCCACCACGCCGGGCAATTTTTTTTTTTTTTTTTTTTTTTGGTAGAGCAGGATTTTGCTTTGTTGCCCAGGGCTGGTCTCTGACTCCTGGTCTCAAGTGATCTTTCCTCCCATTGTTGGGATTACAGGCATGAGCCACCGTGCCCTAATTTTGTTGCTATTCTTAATGAGTAATTAGAAGTGGACAAAAAAAGCTAGGATTAGTGAGTTCTCTCATCTTGACCTCTTAAGTGAAGACTTTTCTTTTTGATAAAGCATAACTCTGTGTAAATTAGTTAATAATAGGCAGTTATATTGCATTATTGTGGCCAATCGTGAGTTATTATGAAGTGGAAAAAAGGAGCATAAATACTAATTTTAGAGAAAGACTGTAAATATAGTTTTTGTTTCATTCAATGTGTGTTATACTAGATTTGAATTTTAGTTGGCATGTATGTTAATGCTATAAAATTACATTGAAATATTGTCGAATAATTAATCATGCTATAAACACTTTTTAAACTTGGCTACTGGGGCAACTTACCTAACATCTTTATTTGAAAAGCTTTACTATGTGAAATATTTTGATTAAAAATACAGCTAAAGATATTCAAATAATTTTTTTGGCAGTTGCTAATTTGTCCTCCTGTTACTCGGTTCTTCTACGGATGCAGAGAATATTTCCATAAACTATTGATTCAGGGTGATTCTTCTGGAAGGTTGAATATTTGGAACATATCAGACATAGCTGATAAACAGGAAAGTGAAGAAGGTAATAGTAAATCATGTGTAACAATTTCTTAACTAATTTAGTAAGTTAAATATGAACTGCTGAATAACACATTCATAATATGCATATATCATTTTCTTTGATTACTGGATAAGTCAACATTATCTTAATGTTTTTTTTTTTAACATGCGCAAATGTTTTTCTTTTATATAAAACCAAACCTCTACAGGGCTGGCAATGACAACTTCTGTTAGTTTGCAAGAGGCATTTGATAAACTGAATCCTTGTCCTGCTGGAATCATAGATCAGCTGAGTGTGATTCCCAGTAGTAATGAACCTCTTAAAGTAACTGCAAGTGTGTACATACCAGCACATGGACGACTTGTTTGTGGCCGTGAAGATGGAAGCATAGTTATTGTACCTGCCACACAGACTGCCATAGTACAGCTGTTGCAAGGGGAACACATGCTCAGAAGAGGTATACCCAAGATCTCTGTATGTCTAAAGTGTTTTGACAACTCTTACCCATGATATTGAAAATGTCTCTATTCTTTGTTTTTAAATAAATACAATGAATCAGTATAGTTAGTTGTTGGGGTGCTATGTAGTTGGTAGAGTTTAATGCACAGTTAATAAAATATTCAGTGTCTCTTATTGGAATTAATACAGTGTAATGACTATAAATAAAGAAATATTTAATTTTATCTCTCTGATATATGTTAATAGTTTCATCTCTTGGTTATCTCTATGGATTACTAAATAATTACTATATTACCAGTAATTCTGAAAATCCTCCAGAACAGTACCATCCAGTAGAAGGCTTTGTTTTTCAAGACAGAGTCTTGCTGTGTTGCCCAGAGTGGAGTGCAGTGATGTGACCTTAGCTCACTACAGCCACTGCCTCCTGGGTTCAGGCAGTTCTCCTGCCTCAGCCTCCCAAGTCATTGAGATTACAGGCATGTGCCACCACACTCAGCTAATTTTTTGTATTTTTTTGTAGGGACAGAGTTTCACCATGTTGGCCAGGCTGGTCTTGAACTCCAGACCTCAAGTGATCTGATCGCCTCGGCATCCCAATATTCAGTAGATATCTAATGGTAACCATATATATAACCACACCTGTAATTTTCTAATAGCTATGTTAAAAAAATAAAAGGAAACAGGTGAAATTGGCTATATTTTATATAACCCAATATAGCAAAAACTATTTTCATTTCAACTTCTAATATGAAGATTGTTGATAAAATATTTTACATTTTTTGTACCAACTTTAAAATCTCCTGACTAGTTTAAATTCATAACACAGAGGAATCTGGATTACCCATTTCAAGTGCTCAGTAGTCTCATGTGGCTAGTAGATACTGAGTTAGGCAGAGTTGCTTTAGAAGATAAAATTGGAAGTCTTTGCTGTGATAAAATTTATAGCTATTCTAAACATTCATGTTTACTTTTACTTACTGAAACTTGGCAAATCTTTAATTTTCCCATTTTAAATCCAAAACCTCATTCACAGGTTGGCCACCTCACAGAACACTCCGTGGTCATCGGAACAAAGTCACATGTTTGCTATATCCTCATCAGGTCTCAGCTCGTTATGATCAAAGATACCTGATATCTGGAGGTGTGGATTTTTCGGTCATAATTTGGGATATATTTTCTGGAGAAATGAAACATATCTTCTGTGTTCATGGTGGTGAGATTACTCAACTTCTAGTTCCACCTGAAAACTGTAGTGTAAGTTGATTTCTATAAAAGATTATTCACTATGGTAGAGAGGAGTTATGTTACTATCAGGAATGTAAATGGAATCTAGACTAACTTAAAGAAAGTGTGACAAGAGAATTAATAAAAACCCTTTCAATTTTAAAACTAAAATAATAGTAACATATTTAGGCAAAGTTATGATCATTAACTATTGGGACACATAGAAATAGAAGATGGACATGGTAGTTTTTCCTCTTAATTAGCTTCTAAATGGTCTGACTTGTTTCTGAAACATAGCAGCAGTTGAGAAAATGTTTATTGAATGAAGTTGCAGTTTTATATCTTAAAATAATATAAGTACACCTGAAAACGTTGTACAATCTCATTATTTTGGGGTGCATCTGAGCAAAGACAATGTATGTGTTGGTAAGGCAAAATACTTTATCAGTAGAGTTCATATAAATAAAAAATTGTAACAAGGGAGACAAAGCCTAGCAGTCACTGATTATGATTTTGGAAAATTACATACATATCTTTGTGGAACCAGATTGCTTTCTTAGTGATGCATTTTAAGTTAAGCCATGATGTCATATAAATAGAAATATGAGATTGTAGGAAGGCTTAGGACTGATAACAGTACTTTTTTTTTTTTTTTACTGTTTATTTATCATGGGACTTACTCATGTGATTAGTCATCTTTGTGTGTATAATCACTATCTCCCAACACTCACACATGTGTGCACATACAGACACATTGTCTTCTTGTATGCATGTCATGCTTATCATAATTCATTCACTGTCACCAGCTCTAGTATTAACTGAAACTGAAAACAGTCTTACTGGTGTATCTGCTGCATTATCTACAAGATGTCTCATTTCAAAACCCACAACATTTTTCTTGGCCTTTCTAGTTACTTACTTAATCTTCCTGATCAAGTATTTTATCAACCATGTTCTGCCAGTGCTAGATTTTGTTTGATTTGATATTGGTGGGTTTGTAAGAAATCCTAGTACCAATATTTCTCATTATTTTTCCTGGCAGATTTGCAAATTTACCTCCTTAATTGTTCTCTTCCTTCTTTTTTATTCCTTTCTTCCAATTAGGTTGTTAATTTCTTATTCACTATAAAAAATTGCCATGTATCTATTTAAATAACCAATATTATATCATAGTTTAGTGAAATAGATATTATTATAATTACATAAATAAATTAAGGTATTGTTAGAACCCCTCTTCTAAACTTCATTTTATAATAGTTATGTCCTATGGTGAAATATGGGGATTTTCTTCTCTGAATGCACATTTGGTGAAATACCTAATTTTCAGTGGTAAAATTGATTATTTAGATAATTCTGTACCAATTTAGAACAACTATTTCTGTTTTGGTTCATGTTTCTTTGTTTGTTTTTTGGTGTGTGTGAGAATAAAATATTTAAAATAATAGAATATTACATAGAATAAGATTTAGTTTTTCTTTAAATTACAAATGTGATTAAAAGTTTGGAATGGCTTACACAAGGCCATGTTCTCTGTTCTAATACATTAATTATATATATTTTTAGCTTATATATTCCTGTGTGAGTGTTTTTTAAACAAATTTCTTTTTAAAAAAATTCAAATGGGTATTTAATATAATAAAATGTTTTGACTATTTGTATTTAAAATAATATGTATGGAATAAAATGCTAATATGCATATATGCAACTAAATGGAGAATGAGCTCCCTACTAGACTTAGGAAAACCAAAAGTGGTAGTTGGCCTGGAGAATATGAGGAAAAGTGACCTAGAAGTATGGTATTTGAAAAATAATGTGTTTGCAATTTGTAATTTAGTTATTGCATGCTTAACAATAGAAATTTTCTTGGGTGGGAAGACGGAGAGGATTGGTAAAAATAACTAATAGGCACTGGGCTTGATACTTAGGTGATGAAATAATCTGTACAACAAACCCCCAAGACACAAGTTTGCCTATATAACAAACCTGTGCATGTACTCTTGAACTTAAAAAGGAAGTTAAATTTAAAAAAAATGAAATTATAAAAGAAAAAAATTAATTTTTATTCTAAAGTACTGATGAAGACAGAGATACTTGCTTTTAGCTATGTGCTAATTTAACCGATAATGACTGCCTATTTAATAACCTGTTCAGTTAGCTGGTTAGGTGGTTTTATGCATATCAGCAAGTATGTTTAAAGATCAAAGAGCCAAACTGGTTAATAAAAAGCAAAGAAGAGTTTGATGTTTGCTAAATGTTGAGAAAATGACTGTGTGGCTGAGATTTGAGTTTACTGCATCATATACTGATTCTAATGCTTGAATAGTCCCTCTCATAAATTGATCCAGTGTCCTGTTCTTCTTAGCAGAATATATTTTTATTTTTGTTTAAAAGTTATGATCAGGCAATAAGTAGTTGAAATAGTTGATCGTGTATTTGTAGTTGGAAGATTAAATATTTACCAAAAGTCATGATTAGAGATAAATGCTGAAAAATTTGTCATCTGTCTTGTTTATTAGAATAGAGTTTTGGGGTTTATCTTAGGTAAATTCAGGTAGAAGTTGAGTTTTGACTTCTTGTAATTATTTGTTCAGGAAAGATATTCTAAAACCAAGAAATGCCAGTTATGTGTAAAAATTGCTTTAACTGTGAATAAGAATGTACAGACTATTTCTCCTTTCTGATTTTATTGTCACATTTTATGTTTCCTAAAATGTATAAAGTTTTTAAGAAAAAGTACTCAGCAAAATAATTCATTATGTGTCTCCTAACTTAGATAGTAAACAAAAACTGAAAAACTGTCTGCTATGTAGCACAGATGCTGCAGCTGAAAGGTGGAGATGGACTCTGAAGACAGGCTCCAGACCCTCTTTCCCAACTCCACATACATGTCAGTAGACAAATAAGATGTACTTATTTTCCCTGCTGTTTAGGTGTTTGTCACCATTTCTTTCCCCACTCCTTCTTTTTCGAGCTGTTTTTAGTGTCTTTTTACCTAAAAGTCTTTCCAAATTCCTACTATAGATTAGCATTAATTTAGTGCCAGACTTAAGTGGTTTTGTTTGCTTTATTTTTAATGAACTATTTCTCTATTCTTTTGTTAGTGGGACTTTTAATTACTTAAAAAATTTGTCATGTTCAAAGATGACAACTATTGCCTAAATATGGCATTATGTAGAATACCTAAATTGAGTAGATTTTTCCTTTTATTTTGTGTTAAAGGATTTGTTTCCATTTTTTAAAGATACTTCATTTAATATTGTTTCTTACTTAAAAAAGCAAAAGTTCATTTAGGAAAAGTTCTTTGAAATTCAGTTTTGATTCATTGAATAGTCTGGTTAACTGATATTTAGCTGATACAGATTATTTTAAAGAACTAAAATGTAAGAAAATTAAAAAATCTGAAGGTACTGTTTTAGATGTAAAATACTGAAATAATTGAGGATTGTATAGCGCTGAAGGGTTATTGAGAACAGTTGAGGAAGTAATGTGTTTAAATGTTCCAAGAAATGTAAGCTTACAATTTAGAAGGAGGATAGGGCAAGTATTTAATTAAGCCTGGTAGAAGGCAGACTATAAATGGCAAATGTTTTGGTGAATGATGGCAGGGGCATATTAGGTCCGCAGAGAAACAAGGAGCTTTGGTAAACTACTCAAAAGACCTGAAAGGTTTGACTAACTACATATTGACTTCTTGAGATGTGTTGGAATTTGTGATTTTGAGGTCTCTAATATTAGGTTATGTTGAGAAATGCTAAGTGTATGATAAAATGAATTGTTTGCTAAGAAGAACCATGGCAAGGAAAACGTAGCCACTGTCCCCTTCCCCCCAGTGGAAAACTACTTGGGGCATTCTAAACTGGCAAGACAGTGTATGTATACCATACACCTGTTAAAACAATTCTTTAAGCACGGAATATGTGATCCTGCCCCCGTGGCTCCCTCGTGGAGAGAGAATACCTTTTAGTTTGTCTGTGATCAGCAGTAAACAGGCACCAGCTGCCTACCTAGTTTATTTTTGTTCTATGAGAAAAATACCAAACACCTGTTTGTTAATAAGAATCACCTGTTCAGAGAGAATAAATGCCTGGGTCAGCATCTGCTCGAGGCCCTTGGCTCCGAATGCTGTCAGCCACCGAGGCTCCCAGCTCAGAAGGCTGTTGGCCCTCAGCTAGCCCCACTTTGCTATTCTATCTGGGTGTCTGCTTCTTAATGCCTTCAACCCTGCCTGGGTGGGGGGCTCTACGGCTAAGCTGGTCTTAGTAAGGTTTTTTGCCATTTTTAGTTTTTTCTTACAGGGAGGGGAGCACTACACACTGGGGTCAGTTGGGGAGAAATAGGGGAGGGACGGTGGGGGGTGGGGAGCTGGGGAGAGATAGCAAGGGGAGATGCCAGATGTAGCTGGTGGGGAGGAAGGCAGCAAATCACACTGCCAAGTGTGTACCTATGCAGCAATCTTGCATGTTCTTCACATGTACCCCAAAACCTAAAATGCAATAAAATAAATAAATGGGGGAAAAAAAAGATTATAGAATGCAAAGTTTCAGTTCTTGATAGAACAAACTGCTGTATCATTTGTTTGAAATGAAGCTGTTCACAAAAACAGTATATAAATTATATGACAAAGTCCTGTACCATTTTTATCATTCCATGTTTATTGTTTTTAAATGAGTGGTTTTTCTTATGATTTATTGCTATTCAGATGTGACAGTTCTTATGCAATTTTAGTAGGATTCAAATTTAAAGTGGAGCCTTTTATTATATTGCCACTTCAAATCTTATATATAGGAGATGTATTAGAAACGTTTTGTAAAACAGCTAAAATTTAAACTGGGGTGTTAAATTTTCATCTGTACTTGGTCTGTTTACTATGGTACCTTAAAAATATTTTATAAATAGGTAGTGATGCACACAGTATAAAATGCAAAAGGTGTAAACGGTTACTATGGAAGTGCAAGTCTCCCTTTCTCTCCTGTTCTCCAGCTTTTTGGTTCCCTTAACCCTGAGTGCAATGTCTTATTATTCCTTCAGAT